TGCATCACAAACAGGTCTAGGTAGGTGATACGTCCCCTCTTTGTAGCATTAGTAAGGCCGCAGCTGGAATACTGCATGCAGTTTTGGGCACCACACTTCAGAAGGGGTTTAGATAACCTGGAAAGGGTTCAGAGGATGGACACCCATATGCTTAAAGGCCTACAGGAAAAACCCTTTGAGGACCAGTTGAGGGACCTGAATCTCTTCACCCTCTGCAAGAGAAGGCTGAGAGGTGATCTTGTGGCCGTCTACAAACTCATCAGGAGGGGGCAGCAGGAAATAGGGGATACAATATTTACCAGGATGGCCATCAGGGTAACTAGAAACAACGGCCACAAATTGCAGGAGAGCAAATTTAGGTTAGATATCAGGAAAAAATTAATCACAGTGAGGGTTGCCAAAATATGGAATACATTTCCAAGAGAGGTGGTGCTATCCCCTTTCTTGGAGGTATTTAAGAGGAGATTGGACAGACACCTGGCTGGGGCCATGTGACCCCAGCACCCTATCTAGGGGGTCAGACTCAATGATCTGATAGGTCCTTTCTGACCCTACACTCTGTGATATCTATGAAATTATATTATTGCTTTATCTTATAGTAATGATTAATGTAACTAAATGTATTCAATATTGTTTTATAATAGATATTTGTGTTCAAGCCTCCTAGATGTGAAAACAAAGCAGCCTCATCAGTGAAAACTCTCAATTACGTGAAAGGAAGGGGATAAGAAATCCTGCCTTCCCAGAAGTGTACATTTCATAGGAACGTCAATCCCAACCAATTGACATCATCCAAGTTCACAACAGAATTGGTTCACTTCAGCTTCAGAAGTTTCCATGAAACAATGACACTTGAACAAAGGCAATCAGACAACAGTTAGTAGATTATTAGAAAAAGCCATCTATAAAGATAGGGTAAAAGCTGCAGGAAAAAGGGGAGGGGGTCGCCTCCCATGACTGAGTGGTGGTAATTAAGGGGATTGTAGGTGTATGTTAATTCCATGTCTAAACTTGCAAAAGAGGTCCAGATCATGGGCTAAAATCTTGTCTCTCTACAGGGCAAATGATTACAAGGTTTTGCTAAGAAGGGCTGGTTGTAGAAACTTATCTTGGGAATTGACTGACTACAGACTGACAGGATTCATATTAAATTGAAAAAGAAGCAAACAAGGACAGTAACTGAGGTTTGGGATTTCAAAAGAGAAAGGTTTATCTTAGGAGAACTTCTGGGCTTTTACAACCTAGGAAAACAGAGGAGAGAGGGATACTTTTGCTATCTGCAACTATATTGGGGAGTAAATATGATGAACAAAAAAGCACTATTTAAGCTAAAAGACAATGTTGGTCCAAGAAAAAATGGATATAACTTGGATGTGAAATTAGAAGGTCCTAAGCACTGAGAAATCAAGAGCAAAGAAAAAACTAACTGCTTTTGAGACATTGCTTTATATTATTAAAATACTGAAATGTGAAAATGGCTGGATAAAATTGAAATACAGTGTCTAATAGTAAAAAGATTCATACATAGTCTTCATGAAGTTGGCATATTTTGAAAGAGAAAAAACCTGAAAACCATGCAGACAAACTGACACAAGCCACTGACCTGCTACCTTCAGTTCTATTACAGCTTCTTTATAAGTAATATCATCTTCAACAAGGCAGATGTATAGCCCTTCATCTGAAGGCCCAATATTGAGAATCCTCAAGGAAACATTTCCATCTGTGATGCCGTCTTTCCAAAACGCTGTCCTTCTCTCGTATTCTGGCATCTGTTGTCCAAACTGATCTCTCCCATCACGGTACAGATGAACATAATTTGTAGACCCAGGTCGGAACCACCTCACATACATGTTCTCAGCGCTCATGTTGGGGGACAGGCGGCATGGCAATACGATCTCTTCCCCCACAATGACAGTGATTGGCTGATCAGTTCCAACAACTGTAAAAAGATGTACCAAAAACACCCTGAAGTAAACTCAGAAGTAAATAGAGAAATCCAAGATACTCAACATGAGATGGAAAACCACCTGGCAGAGTTTCAGCCTGGACTGGTAAAGTGACAAATAACTGAAAACACAGGCTTAAAATAGTTGCCTGAGCAACTTGAACTGCAGCTAAGTGCCGAACATAAGATATTCAGTCTCTGTGAAATGACAGAATACCCTGAGTTAATATAACATATGTATTTTCATCATAGAAATGTCAACGTGTTTAATTGGATATTTTCTGAACATTATATCCCATAAAAAACTTTGGTGCCTTGATGATTGAATCACATTTTGTGATTACATACAAATATCATATCATTGAAATGTCACGTAAAAGAGGATTTCTCCCCTCACTAATGGTTTTGAAAAGCCAGTGGAGTGATGAGAAGGAGGATGTGAGGATACTGTGGGAACGAGGAACATAGGAGCACACAGAAATATGGAAATATGATTGGGTGATAGATAGATTCTTCTGTATGCTTGGGGAAAAAGAGGAAAACTTTTTTATTTTAGATGTAGCTATTGTTTCTTCCCACACAATGATGCTGATGCAGTCTGGAACTTCTCACAAATTCTTTTCCATTTTCAAGAAAAGACTGCAATTGGTGCAATGTGTCAATAGAAAACTAAATAAACCTTTCAGCAGCAGGAGAACACACATTAATATGGAGCAGACACCTACCTGATTCCACTTTGCAAGTATGAAAAGTAATGAAGAATGTGAGAAAACCAGGCAGCGATGTGGAGACTCTGGAGATTTGGCACAACGAGGAAGACATCTTCTTCACTGAAACTTCAGCCAAAAGCACAAGGGGAAGGCAGAAAAGTATTCACCTGGAGAACATAGAGCTCTGGTTACCACCTTTGTGTACTGGGTGAGGTAGCAGGAGGACAGCACGTACAAGTATACAAGGGGAGCACTCTTAGGTTGAATAAACTTATGCAAGTGCAGAATTAAAACAGCCGCTGAATTCCAGGATTATCCCTGATATCTTGCCCCACTCTTTTCCCCTCAATGAAAAATCATGTGCTGAGTCAAGTGACGATCAAGAGTTTTCATTACATTTTAGACCATCTTAAATGAATGAGATCTAGAATTATAATACTGTGACCTGGTAAAAAGGAAACACGGGGTCCAGATACAGTTACATGCCAATATAGCTGTTCAAGGCAACATCAGATTTGCCCACTTCAAGCTCTTCAGAGTACTGTGTCAATGGCTGTGGCAAATGTGGGGAGTGTTGATCAGTACTGCATAATGAGGTGAATGCTCTGCAGTGTGGAGATGGTGTTTTGCAATGTCTGAGAGTTTCAAACACTTTCACAATCCTTCACTATTTCCAACAGGCCAAGAAGTCACTTACAGACAATGATGCAATTATGCCAGGGGCCTAGTGTTAGACAGTCTCGTGGCATAACTGATGGAAAACAAAGACTCATCAGAAAAAGCTGCTGAGATATTTGGTTGCTGTGCTTGGCCGTGGAAAGGGAAGTTGTGGTTTTGACAAAATGGAATGAGTGGAAATTAATATAGAATAAGAGAATAAATTCAAAGTGTTCCTGATCATTTCCTCTGTGGATATTCTTACTTCAGAATAAGTGTTTTGACATGTAGAGTTAATTGGGAATGGTTATTCTGGAATTACTCCCCCTGGACAGAAGACCTAAACTGAGTGTTTTAACTTCCAGTCAATCAAAAGAGGAACCCATTTGACTTGGCTTAAGGCATATATGTTTGGGAAGGCTTTCCACTGCTGTGTAACACTGGGCACAGGCCTGTGCTAGGTGTCCATTCAATCCTGCACAGCAATACAGACATCAACTGTTCTTGCCTTTGTGATGCCATAAACATTTTTATGGTGGCACAAAGCAAAAGCAAATAGACAGCCGTACTCTATGTCACACTGCAATGTGTTTGCTAAAAAAGTAACAGTAATTTGTGCGGCTTTATTGTGGTAGACATCTATTTTCTTTATGGCAGGGAAGCACAGGCAGCCTGGAGCTTCCCTCCGGCCAGCCTGGAGCTTCCCTCACTCTCCAGCCACCTCAGGCAGGAGGTCTTTGGGTTTCGGGTCTCAGCCTTGTGTGCCTCGGGATTTTCCATGCAGGATCAGGCCCCTCAACCTCAGGAGTGCCTGCATGGCTTTCCCTGCTTCCAGGATCTCTGGGGTGTGACTGGAAGCTGGGAAAGATAAGGATCCCCTCTTCTCAATACGCGCCCGTGGCAATCTCTATTTTAATAGTGTTCTCATGTTGTCTCAAAATGACATTTCACAGTTTTTATAGGAGTTACGAAACAACAGTATGTAGGACAAAATCCTGTTTTGCCTCATAGACAAGTAAGTGGCACATAAGTGTCTCTTTTATGAGTATGAATCCAAATGTCATTCTACTTCACTTTTTTCCATTATACAATCACAATTATAATAATATTTAAATCCACTATATGACAACTCTGAATATAGATAAACTGCAGGTAAATTCAGTTGCCAGGTAGATGTAGTTCGATGCAGGTAGATTAGTAAACCAGGTAGATTCAGTTGGCACCATCTCCACACGCGGGTGCTATCGCTACAGCTATGTCTTCACAGCTGTGGTCATGACAGCTCCCAAGTGTAGACAAATAATTGGTGAAAGTCAGTTGAAGCCCAAAGCAGTGTTTCTTCAGGCTAACCAAGTAGCAGAGTAACCTGCACACTGAAGTGGTTACACTATTCCCCTACTCAAGCTAACTTCAGAGCTAGGGTCAGGAGGGACCTGAACAGATCATCTAGCCTGACCCCCTGCCACAGGCAGGAATGAATGCTGGGTTCACAAGACCCCAGACAGGTGATCGTCCAACCTCCTCTTGAATTTGCCCAAGGTAGGGGCGAGGACCACTTCCCTGGGAACTTATTTACAGGTAGACCGGGTATCTTCATGCTGTACTACAAACTATGTTGTAGACACACCTTGAGTTGTTTCACGTTTCAAGTGAGTCTGGGAAACAATTATTGCATCAGGCTCTTGAATTTTGAGCAGCTTTGTCCTGTGCTGTGCAGGAACTGCCTTCGTTTAGCTGGAGATGTTATAATACCCAGGGGCAGGTCTGGATCTCTATCCCCGCACATAAAGGGGCAACCCACAGAGCTGCCTGCCCTCTGCCCAAGCCCTGCACAAACTGCTGTGGGTTCAGTGCGAGAAGCTGTGGAAGAGATGCCTCCCACGCGGACCTGCTAACACCAAGTCTTCAAAAAAGCATGAGTCAGGGCCCCAGACCTGATAGGACTTGCCTAAAAATAATGGGGTGTAAAATTAATTTTGAATTCTGTCACCTGAGACCTTCATTAACCCTGGGATCATATTATCGAGAGTATGAAAGAATATGAATATAATTTTCTCTGGTATAATAGGGATGAGAAATTTCTTTAAAAAACAAAAACACCAGAAAAATTTGGAGCAGTAAATATTATTTAATAGCAGGACTCAAGGAGCTTAGGCTTTAAGAAAAGCATTATCTATTTCTACATTAGTGACGTAGTAGTGGAAGTGAACAGCATTACAATACAGATTCATAGATGGCAATTTAAACAATTTTAAAATTTTTTAAAGTATTCCTGCAATTACCCCTCTAATTTTGTCATGCAATGATGTCAAACAAGATCTTGTTTCAAATAGTTTCAAAGTGAAAAATATGCATTGCCGGGAATCAATAGATTTTCACTGTTTACTCTCTATTGATTCTTAAAGGAGAAAATAAAAAGAAAAAACCCCTTAGGAACATTTTTGTTTCATTTTGTTTTAATTTCCATTTAATTTTACACAACACAAAAACGTGTGTTGTGAATTGCTTTCTAAAACAATTGGAAAAAAGTCCATAAAAATTAAAAAAAAGAAAAGTCCATTATGTTGAAAATCTTTCATGAAAAATTGTTAAAAAATTTTACTCTCCCCGAAGACACTCCAATAAAACTTTCTGTCCTGTATTAAAAACTGTGAAGAATAGTCTAATTCACCACTTGTAACATGCTTATTTCACCAATACGTCATTAAATCTTCCCTGATGCTATATCATAATTATCCCTGCAAGTCAGCGCTCCACATCTACTACACGGACATTTAAGTCAATGGAAAATTATAGTATCTTTGGAAATATTGCTCCCAATTCAGCATATATGTATTTCCATACTTATTAATATTTAATTACATGCTAAATTCCCACTGATTCCAGAATTAATAAAACATACAAATTTCCTATTAGATTAATTCTGGAAATACTATTCTCCTGCTTCTTTCACAGAAAAATATTAAAATAACTGTACAATCAGAGCATGAAAAAAGCAGAAAGAAAAGGTCAAAAGAAATAATGAAAAAAGAAAATGATACAAGTTGAGATCGGAATAGTCTTTTATTTCCTGGACCCCAAATAGAAGAGGTTCTCTTTTACAAAAATTTGTCTTAACTTAGAGCAAGATTTGTCTGTTTGTTTGCTTCCCATTTTGTTTGCGTGGTTTGTGGGGGATTTGGGGGTTTTTTTGAGGTTTTTGTTTTGTTTTTGCTGATGTCTGTAAAGTATTTTTAATGAAATTATTTGTGAATGTACAAATAATTTAGTTTTTGCCTAAATAATAAAAAAAATGTCAAAGGATCATCTAATCTCTGTATTATTACATAACGTAAAAATGGAGCATTTTAGAGGGTATAAAAGGTCTCCTGAATATTTCTTGATCAAGTGAAGGTCCCCTACCTGGCTGATCCTGCTGAGCAGTGCTGGGCTGTGTTCTGCCCCCGAAACATGACTTCGGTTTTCTCAAGGTAAAAGAAGCTTTTCAGAATATCAGATAACAAGATCCATATCTAATTCCCACAGTAAATGAGCTATAGTGTTTAAATGTAGCTTTTCTGTCCAGTTTTTTAAATTTCAAACTTCTATATGCGTTTTCATCTTGCAGCACTTGTTAACTTGGGAAGTGAAAGGAAGAGCAGGTTCCTGGGCAGGGCACAGCCTGCTGCACATGCTCAGACCCGAGCACTTACATGTACAGAAAGCGTTGTGAGAGGGGTGGGGACTTTTAGATTCCTCCAAAAAAGTCTGGACCTAAGAGCTTTTGAGTCCTTTGATGTTAGTAAAAAGCATTTCCTGCCACTAACTCTTAGTGAGCTGAAGAACTTGTCTGGAAAGGAAAAAGGGAACAGAAGTCCCAGGGAAAGACAGCGAGAGCATTGACCATTGATTCAAAATAGTGCCAATATACATACTCAGGCAGGAGCACCACAGTGATGCCTCCCCAGCAAATGAGGCTTGGGAAGCATCACAATTTCACAAGCCTCATTTGCTGGGGAGGTATCACATAGTTCAGCATCACAGCCCTCAGGACTCTGCAGGGTTGCTCCCCTTCTGCTATATACTAACGTTACATTTCCTATTCACACAATACATTGCATTACACAATGCATCCACTACGGTATGAACTTTCATTACCTGGATAGATCACAGCTCTTCTCCACAGGAAGAAAGAGAAATCGGGGTGAGAACGTATCTGAGCAAATGCAGCTGTAAAGGACACCTGGATGAGGAGCATCTGGCTCAAGCAAAAGCCAGGAAAGACCAGAGTGATGCTGGACACAAATGGGGCAACATGTGGAAGGACTCGCTGGGACACTCTCCTTTCATAGCGTTAAATCCATACAGACCTCATCCATTAAAGTTATGCCAAATCTCTAAGCATAGGCAGAGCAAGAAAAATTCATCTGGGGGTCTGAGTGTGCATGTGTACCCCTGTCCAGCCCCCCTGGAAGTTTGCAGGTGAAGGGCCCGGGGGGGGGAGGTGGGGGAAGAGCCACTGGGGGGGAGTGCATTCCCCTGCTTGCTCCCCCATGCAATGCCGTGTCCCTGAAAGAGCAGCTGGGATCTGATTGCCCCATGATCCGGCCATGCCGGGCCTTATACACAATGTAAAATATTAAGTTTCACAACTAATCGCCATTATAAACTAGCTGCAGGGTTTATCCTCAGCCATTCCTTCCAGGATTAAACAGTCCTTTTTTTCCCTTCTGAACTGAGATATGCGATTTCCTCTTGCAGTGATCCCTGGCTGGAAAGTGAAAGGATCCACATACAGGAAGTTGGAGCAATTTCAAATCCAATCAAGTGGGAATAGAGTCCGCTCTTAAAGAAACAGCCACACTTCCAATAAAATGCAAGTAGAGGCACCTAGGAACATAGGCCTAGAAGGGCCTCAAAGGCCATCCAGTTTAGTCCACTCTTCCATTAAAAAGTCGTTTTTAACTTTTTTCACACTGGCCTGAAACAGACCTCCTTCCTCCTGCTGCCTTTGTAGAGGTAGGAAGTGAGAATACCTGTAGCAAAGTTTGAGTGACAGTCCCCGAGGGCATCTTTTCTAGATGTTGCAATTGCACTTTGCTATGCTGGAGTACAGCTGGAAGAGACCTCCAGAGGTCATCTAGTCCAATCTCCTGCCTGAGTTGTGTTTGCCTGTATCCAGACAGCCCAGCCCAGCCCAGCCCAGTTCTTCTGTGCTCTCCTCTCAGGCAAGTGTCAGACTGAGACAAATGCTTCAACAGGTCAAGGACACCCAGGGATCTGCTCAACATAAGACTCATAAGAGCTTTTGTGCTGTAGTTCACCACTGGCTGGAAAAGTTCTTGCTTGCCAAATCCCACCACAGATACAATGTCCATTACTGCCAATAAAGCCTCCTCTGCACTCACAGTGCTGGGCTGTCTATACCTTAGCATTTGTTGTGCCTTCATATTGTCTTGCTTTCTGCTTTTCCTTGCTGTTCACTCTTCCCACACTGAGGTTGATAGCTAGGCCTTGCATCCATTCTGGCTGCAGAGTGCGGATTTGGTGACAGATCGTAACCGGCTCAGAGACAGCGTGCCCTCTACGCTGCGGGGCCCTTGCTATGCAGGGGCTCAGGGCAAATTGCACCAGTTTCCCCCCACTCTAGGTAGCCTTGCCTAGGAACAGATGTCTGGAAGGGCCTCTGAGGCAATCCAGTTCAGGCCTCTGTATTTCTAGGCACCCCCTTCCCAAAAATTTCCTAACAATGACCCACTGCAAACTTTCATATAGAACAGGTACAACAACCAGACCAAAGAGGAACCCCCCAGAAAATGGCACAGGTAAAAGAAGGGGACATGCAGGCACTGAGACTCCAAGGAGAGAGAAGTTATTGAATATATGCACAGAGGATCCAAGGAAGAGGAATATATCTCCTGCTGTCCTTGCCAGTCTGACATAAGGGAAAAAATCTTGATCCCTAATTTGACAATTGGCTTGACATTGAGCAGAAGAGCAGAGCAGCCTTATGATGAACCTCTGAGCTGTCTACGTATGAGCATGAAGATCAGCCCATCCCATCCCAGACACTGCCCCAAATTCTAGGTGTGGCCACTGTCCAAACCAAATTAGGGCCAAAGCCCAGGAGCTGGATGACAGTTTTCCTTCCATTCTTCTACTGAAAAGTAGCTCTTAACTTTTTTCATGCTGACCTGAAACATACCGCCTTCTCCTCCTTGCTGCCTTCATAGAAGTAGCAAGCAAGGATACCTGTAGCAAAGTCTGAATGGCAGTCCCTGAGGGCATCTCCTTTAGGATTGGGAGATAAGAATCCTTCAAAGAAGCCATCACAGACTGGCTGTACTGGCAGCACTGGGGATTGTAGACTGTCTTCCAAATCCTCCATTTTAGAATAAGGCAAGAGCAATGCTGAGACGTTTGTTCACTATGCTGTTGGAGAGGAGACTGGTTAAATACAAAGGACATTTCATTTAATTGTCAAACTGGAATAACTTCACCAAACAGCTGAGTCACCAGTAACTGTTTGATTGATGAAGTTCATTTATGTATTACTGCAGGCTCCAAAGGTTGAAGCCCAGCCCAGCCCAGCCCAGGTCTTCTGTGCTCTACTCTCTGTCAAGTGTTAGACTGACATAGAAATGTTTACATGTTTAAATAAATGCTTCAACAGGTCAAGGACACCCAGGGATCTGCTGAACATAAGACACATAACAGCTTTTGTGCTGTAGGTCACCACTGGCTGGAAAAGTTCTTACTTGCAAAATCCCACCACAGATACAATGTCCATTACTGCCAATAAAGCCTCCTCTCCGCTCACAGTCCTGAGCTGTCCATACCTTAGCGTTCCTTGTGCCTTCGCATTTTCTTGCTCTTTCTGCTTTTCCTTGCTGTTCACCCTTCCCATTTGGAGAGTGATAGCTAGGCCATGCATTTATTCTGGCTGCACAGTGGGTAGTTGGTGACAGATGGGAAGGGGCTCAGAGAGTCTGAGCAATGACCACTTGGGATGAAAGAAAGATGAGCAAGATTGTTAACACAATGGAAGCTGCTATAAATGAGGCTAATTTTATGCTCTCAGCTTTAATTGGAAAGGTGTCTCCCATTTACTCATCGTGTGATTAAATACATTATTGGAGAGGTACCCCATAAATGTGTAATTCTGCTGCAAGTAAGCATCACCTAGCACTTCTGTTGGTTGACCGCCTGGTTCAACTAGGGAAGGTGATTTTCTGTAGGAATAGTACATCAACACAAAACCGTGTAATGTAGTTTTTAAAATTATGACTTGCTCTTTAAACATC